AGTCAGTCTCTTGGACATTTAGACTGGTCCACAGACATATTGAAGATTACCGACAATGGCTCGGCTATGTTTTCAGCCAATGCTGTTAATATACGTGGGTGGAGTTATCAGGCACTGTACAGATTGAGCTAGAAGCACTTAGGAAAGTATCTTTCCAATGTATAAGGTGCCATTTCAAGTTACCTTCTGGAAAGTTACAAAGCTGGTACATTTACATGAAGCAACACGGATGTGTTATCACGACTGAATCTATAAGCTGCCAACTATGCCATTTTCATCGCGATAAAGAAAATAGATCTAAGTGTCTTATGATGTTGTAAGTATTTATCTACGCTACGTTGACGCTGTGAACACATATATCTGTGTTTATTCCTGTTCTTACAGGAACACACCGATAGTACAGGTATGAATAATGATTATTTAAATTACACAAATTTGGTTTCTGCTGAATCTACATGGTTGCTGCTACGTCTGACTTTATTTTCTAGCGATGGTCTGCAAACTAGTCATTCAACGTGAAACATTAGGAAGTATAAAAATGCTGTCTTCTCACCAACAAAAAGCCCAAGTCTGTGTGGGATGAATCGTAAATACTCGGGAAAAAATAAGACTTGGAGTAAATTCCTCCACATAACATTGCTGTGTACGGTATTGAATCTTATTTTTGTTTTATAGACAGATGGTATATTAATTTGAAATGAGTGGTATATTTGAATTATTTTTTCAGCAGCGTCATCGTGGGATACCATCAAAAGTGAGTCGTACTTCATTCAAACAAATATCGGCTATAGCTGGGAAGATTGGTTTACTGCACGAGAAGTATGATAGTTCTCCATGGTCGGGCATTACCGCCATTTGTAGCTGTATAGTAGTCTGTGCGCGCAAGTCCATTAAGACGTAGGAAATTGTTTGGAAACTAGTCGCATCTTCCCTTGAGATTATGAATACCGCTCATACAGGATGTCATTCAGCGTCATGATATGGTGGCATGGGAGTTTTCAAGGGTGTTGAACTAATACGAATCAACAGCCTGAGGAATGATATGGTGCATGTACGCAAGTGGCTTCACATTTACTGCAGGATTGTGCAGCTCCCAATACAAGGCAAATATAAGAGAAGAGGAGAGCTGCAAAGTAACAGGAAAAGAGAAGTATGTGGATTAGACAGAACCTTAATGTTAGTATACATACATGTTTATATACATTATAAATTACCGTCTAGCAAACAAACCTGTCGATATTCTCCTACATCTGAGCAACTTGTATCTTTATCGATATGTAGAGTAATTAGTGAGGTTTTACGCGTTCTTTAGACACTATAGAGATCTAGTAATTGATTCGTTCTAGAAATTTTTTTGTTAATGTGATGAGTAGAATGAAACAGTCAATGGGTGAGATGACGCGGTGTAATAAAATTTTGAAATAAACGAAATGACCGATTTTGAAGGCAGTGAAAACCAAAAGGATTTAAATAGTACATCAATCAATAATTTATGTATGACTACATGGCAAACAAACTAACGGCTGGCAAACAGCAATCCAACAGAGCCAACTGACAACGTTGGAAGTTACCTTAAGGTAAGTAAGCCATCAAATGGCCTTGAGCGTGCCTGATTATTTCAGTCTTCTTAATCCAGTAAGACTTAGGACACCTTAAGTCACACCCGGTAAATATTCAACTCATGAATACTCTGAAAGCGACATGGTCCGAGTAGCAGGGAAATCTTCCATCGAAAGAACAACTTCCAACCTCCAGCAAAGTTGGTCTCCTCAGGGTTATTACACTCTGAAGCAGGCTCAGGTTACTGGTGCAAGGGAAGAAGACAAGCAGCCAAGGAATAACTTTTAGTTCGTGATCAATAAGTCGGACTGTCTCATTCTGTTGTACTAACGACTCTGCAGCGAAAGTCTACTTGAAGAAAGAGTACTATCTGATCGGAAACAGTGGTCTGATTCGTGCAGCGAACTGGTAATAGGCACTCAGTGCGTAAAGCCGTGTAAATCGTACAAGGGCGTTCAGGCACCTCAAGATAAGTAAATTCCATTAGGGGTGACAGTGAGCTCAGCTGATGACTTTGGTCACACATTGCTGTCCCACGTACTAGCTATGAACAGGGCTTACAAAATACGAATGACAGCCAGAAGGCCATAGGCGATCAGTCAAATAGCATGGCATTCACCGGGACTAATGCCTTCTATCTCCATGGTAATAAACAATGTTCTGGAGCTAAAAAACGGCACTACATGTTAGAAACACTTGCAGAGTTTATGGCAGCGCAGATGGTTACCATTTCAGATGGCCACTGATGCACCTGGGGTAATGTAAATTTGTAGGTCACATTCTCACCTCACACTGATCGGCTCACCACGGGTACTAGCTGTCGAATGTAGTTCCCAGGGCAGTTGGCTTCAGTGCCCAAGTGTCTTAACTAGTCCTGAGAAAAACGACAAGAGCCCAGTCCCATTGGAATCAGCCGATTAGTCGAAAAATTCTCAAGCATCAGCCTACGCAGCACCAACTAGGCCAAAGTATGGCCAGGTCGTTAGACTTAATACTGGTTATCGATACGCAGTGCGAGAGGGCTGGGAGGACACCTTTTCTCTAGTGACACTGCAACCATGAGGCAATCAGTATGACTGAAGAGAGGCATGCAGCGTATCTTGAAAGAGGAGAGGTCAGCTTGGTTTACAGGTCGACTCTCCGAAGGACAGACTGACCAGCAGGCATACCTTGAACTCAGGTATGGGTATGACACAAGGTTCAGGAGTGAGGAGAAGTCATTTCCATCAAATCTTGCCAGAAAACTCCTGTTAAACCTTGAAAGCCTATACCAGTTTGGAAAGAAAACCTACCGACCATGGGGCATGCGCCCTAGGAGGGCGAAATGGTCAATATCTCGATAGTTTGGAAATACCTGAAACATTTAGTTTGGCTCTTGACAGGCAGCTAAGTAGCACTGTGAGTATTGCATCCATAGTCCATAAGGATAGCATCACTAACGTGCACAGAGAAATCCCAGTGGGTACACTCCTTGATATATTTGGTGTTTATCAGTCACCCGCGAAGCCACCTAAACTGCCCGACCCATTATTGGTATGACGATGTAAAGATTTGGACAGCTAAAATTTGCTTGAAAATCTTAAACAGACTGTAGGCTAGATCGAAAATTGCTGATGGTATGACTTCCAACCGGAAAAGTGCGAAGTCGGACAACTACGTACCTGTAGTCAGCAGAGGGTAAACTAATCGCCATTAAATTTCACAACACGACTCAGGTCTGCTTCTAACGGAAAAACAGCCTAAGTGTAAATTGTACAATTGCTGTAGTTAGGCCATATGCAGTTATGCACTCAATGCACAGACAGTTAGGCCCACTTACTCTTGAGCTTTTTATAGGACTACACAGAACATACGGAAGACCAGACCCTGAAGTACATCATATGTTTGCTCCTTGACTACCTAGAAGAGACTCCAACCTTTTGGAAAGCGTTCAGAGACAGGCAACGAAAGGCTTGATGTGTCTCCAAAACTAATCATATGATGGACGGCTGGAGAAGTTAAGTCTTTTCACACTTGGCTGCTGCTGGCTTAGGGGTGACTTGAAGCACTGCCTATGAAATTATAAATGGCCAGAAGTATCCAAAGGAATGTATTCTGCCAACAAGAATGGGCTTCCTTGTGACAATCTACGATGGATATGGCATCATGTAGCAGAGAATCAGATGCGCTCCGATTTCTTTTTTCTTCGGGGTTGCCGTCCCTGGAACACTTAACTTGCAGCTGTTGTTGCTGCACCTTCTATGGAAAGCGAGTAGAGGCTAGACAATAATATAGCGACACAAGGACTGTGTCCAACTGGCCTTTCCTCCTAAAACTAACATGCATGGACTATTAATATGTACACACCTAAACTAGTCAACTAGTGCCAACCTCCCTGGTCTTACTCTTCTGACTATTCTGTCTACTCATTCACTTATTCCATTGTCACTCTTACTTATTTATGTGAATATATACTTTGATTTGAAATTTCATTATCTATGTCTCTGTACGTTTTTCCTCCTTAGTCTACAAAATCTACATTAATTATACTCTATAGTGCTTATTATTACTATTTTTATCTCAATTGAACCACGACGGACGACTAACGGGTGAAGGGATCAGTTCCACTCACGCTGATGACACGGACTTAACAAACCACCTACTATGAACAACACATAACCAACCTAAGTACCACTTCCCTTCGAGCCAACCATAGCTGAGAGTGGTGGAACACACTAAGTAGAAGTTTATCGAAGACCAGGAACATTTGCCTTAACACCAAGAGGTGACCACAAAGAATTTTGTTAACACTAGCTCGTAAATACGATGTTGGATATTGGGTATCAATAATTCGTTGCCCATATAGCGAAAAGGTGTTTTTATGATAAGAAACTATTTAGTTATTTGTTTATTGTCTGGTCCATTGTTTGGTGGAGAGTCAATTCTATCAGTCAAGTTTGCATACGCTAGTTCGGGTCACACAAGTGACATGAATTCTTTCAAGGCTGCAGATGCGCTTTGCTGATGAGTTCCAACTAGCACGACACTAGGTCCGAGGCTTCATGCCTATCACCTCCAACCATCTAATGTCAGAATGTGTTTCTCTTCGAAATCATACTAGCAGAATATTGCTACGGCAATGACACAATGTGAAATCATATTTAAAGAAGTGGAGTTTGGTTACAGATGTAATAAAACAAAGAAAAACTACTATAATTAACCAGCTGAAATATAACTGATGCTACTGAAGTGAGCTGAATTTTTTCTTTTCACCTACGACAAAAATTTTAAAATACTTATATTGGAATTATGCTAGCGCTATTGTAGGTACAAATACCCTTAAAAAAGGCTTACACCATATGTAACACGATTTCAGCCGCAAAACCATAACAGCTGAAAGATTGTCATAGTCGATTACGAGAACTGCTTTCTTGTTTTATGCTTGTAATTTCCAAAAGTGCATATTATGGCGGGTGGACAAGCTGATCAAGGCCAGAGCGATGCTCAGCTGATTCAAGAAGTGGACTCGTTGAAAAGAAAGCTTGAAGATGAACGCAATAAGCTTGCGGATGAAGACTGTTAGTTCTTATGAAATTTTATTTTGCAGTGGTTACTGCCAGCCAACATCTAGATGCAGTTCCGTCCCTTAACATCCGAATCCGTCGGGTTTTGAAGGGACATCAGGGAAAAGTATTAAGTCTTGCTTGGTCTCTGGACAAAAGGCATATTGTGAGCTCCTCCCAGGTAATAGAATGATTTTATTTGTAAACTGCTAGGATGGGAAAATTCTGGTTTGGGATGGATTTACTACATCTAAAGTAATTTTTCATTTCTAATAACATACTCCACAGGAATATTCAATATCAATGCCAACAACCTGGGTAATGTCTTGTGCGTACAGTCCTTCTGGTAATTTCGTCGCTTGTGGGTTAGTTAGGACAGCATCATATTCATTTTAAAACACTTTTTAAAATCAATATCTAATGGTATAATAATGTAATTCTGTTTCAGAGGTCTGGACAACAAATGTACTGTATACCCGCTGACTTCGGATGAAGATCCCATTCTTAAGAAGAAACTTGTTGCAACTCACACCTCGTATCTCTCGTCTTGTTTATTCAACATATCGGATCACCAGCTATTAACAGGAAGCGGAGACAGTACTTGTGTTTTATGGGATGTGGAGTATGCACAAATAATCCAGAGTTTCTATGGCCATTCTGCCGATGTGTTGAGTATTGCGCTATCACCGTCAGAATTCGGAAGAACGTTCGTTTCAGGGGTAGGCGCTGTGATTTGAGAAATTAAGTGTTTTAGAGTTGTGACAGGTGCGCTAATGTGTGGGATATGCGTACAGGACAATGTGTTCAGGTGTTCCAGGGGCATGAATCAGATGTCAATAGTGTCCGGTTCTTCCCTAGTGGAGACGCATTCGCAACAGGTTCAGATGACGCTACTATCCGCTTATTTGACCTGCGTGCTGATCGTGAAGTTTGCGTATATAAGAAAGACAGTGTCATTTTTGCGTGCAATGCAGTGGATTTCTCCCTAAGTGGTTAGTTTCAGATTTGTCGAATTTTTCTGTGGTTAATTTTTAAAGTTTTGAATGGTAATTATGATGAAAGAGAGACTAGGGTGACACATTTTAAAATCCGTTAGCTGTTGCTTCGTATCTAAAAGTACTTACGTGGTTTTCAGTAATCAAGTGATAGTGAGTCCTGATAAATAATGGCTTTCAGACTCGTTTTGGTTTTAACTATATTTTTTGCGTATACTAGTATCTTGAGGTAAAGCTAGCACAAATAAAAATACATTATCACGTATGACTGATGAGGTTTGTTCTAGAGAACTTATGATTTACAAGTCATATTCCCAGAATATTCACGTCCACCGCATTCGTTTTCTTCCAACAAAATACGCATCATGTTTATTTTAGACCCATGTTTTTATTGTCAAGATGACTTAGTAGTTACATATTGATGTCCGACACTTCTATAACTTGTCTTACTACAAGTTACTTGTCAAGTTTTTAATTTAATTTGATTTCTCTCTTGATGGAATCCATATCAAGTCACACTGACAACAGGTTGACGAGCAATTTTTGAATGCAGTTATTACGAATAACTAGGTGCTGTGAACTTCGTGAAATTACAGATCTTGAATTCTATTTGACTTTTATATTAGGAGTCTAAAATTTCTCAGGTATCTCTGATTTCATCGATCTAAAATTGTGAGATGCCGAACTACTTAGACCCACTCTGATGAAATTTTATGTGGTTGCCTCAATTTTCACATCTTATTAACCAGTCTGAAATTCAAGCAGCCTAACGTTCAAATATAGTTGGGGTTTCATTAAAACAATCAATCTTACCCAACAAGTCCTTTATTACTAACCTCCATAGCTTAGTTCGCCATTATCCTATTAATGAAATTACAACACAGTCAATGGAAAGGGTTGAGGTCTACCCAATATATTGGTCATTAGCGTCTTAATTAATTATGTCTTGAAATGTTTTGCATTTATTATATACACATGTAAATGGAGTTTTTCCATTTCCAAGTATAAACATGACTCTAAGACTGTCTATCGTCGTGCCTGCAGTGCTTGGTTATATCCCCACTAAATACAGCTTTAATTATGTAAATTGAAAGAATTAGTGTTAAAAACTCTTTAGCAAATGCTATACCTCTTGGTAACCACACAACGATAATTTTTCTAGCCGCATTCACAGTAACTGAAAAAAGGTTTGTTTTACACTCAGTTTTAACCGAAAAGTATTCCTTATTATATTATGCAACTTTCAACTTTAATTTCTTTCAAGGTTTTGGTTACCATTTCGTTCTGATTTTCTTTCTTTTTTTCACATCAAGCATTAGCTCCTTTTATTTTATATACTGCTGAAATCACGGTTGCAAAATCAGGACACTTTTGTGTTCAGTTGTCTATACACCTTTAGAATAACCTACTAAAACATGATCGTTATCTAGCATGCTATACCTTAATGTTCAAAGTATCACTAATGGCAACCTCCCTTATGTGTATCACACTGTTCGAGTCCATGTTGTACCAAAATTGTTCTAAGTAAATGAAATGATTCTTTAAATAGTATGTCGATTTTGATACAGCCACTTACTGTCCTACTAATTTTTGTCGTAGGTCGTTTGCTCTTTGGTGGATACAGCGACCATGCTATGAACATATGGGATGTACTTAAAGGTCAACGTATTAGCATTCTTTATTGTCATGAAAATCGTATATCTTCTTTACGCGTCAGCCCAGATGGAACAGCCATATGCACTGGAAGTTGGGATACAACCTTAAGAGTAAGTAATAAAGACCTTTTTCATGTTTACTTCTTAATATTTAATGATATGCCATAAAACTTCACCGAGATTATTTAGCTTTTATTAAGTTGTTTATGAAGCAGCTATTTTAAGTAGTCGTTTGAGCACTAGCCTCTTTGTAAAAGACATGTTATAACCAATTTACAGATGTCATTTTTCCGTCAGTATGTTCTCATTTTGGCATCCGTATATTTTGCCGGAAAAGTCTTACCCATCGTTTCAAGAAAGTGAGATTTATTCTAATAAAATTGAGAAACCGAGCGTCAATATTTATTACTTATCAAGTCAAAGTTATCGAAGGTTCACCTGTGGAAGCTGGAGAGCGACGATTCCAAACTGATAGCACACATGTATTCCACTATCTGAAAGGAGCAACCGATCTGTGGGCGTGTTTTGAAAATGAACCTCTTGACGTTTGTCATGTCTTTTATCTCGTGGAATAGACCTCAACTTAAGTATTCAGAGGGTGGTACTCTAAGACAATCGTTGACTTGATTTTGGGTAAATGAATCGAATTTCGGTACTTACAAAAATATGAAATGACATCTCAATGTAGATTCTAAATCCCCTCACAGGTATTTGCATATGCGACATCATAAACCAATAGTTGTGTCTTTTATTGTTATACTGTCCTTTTTACTCACATTTGAATAATGTTTGTTTGTTGTTTTTGTCATTACATTTTCTCTACTTTATTCTTCTCGTCACTGTGTAAATTTCCGGTCTCTAGAATCCATTTTGAGTTGCTGAATAGTTTTTGTCACTCAGCAGCCCTTCAGTGAGATATCTAACACGGCTATTCTCACACCACATCTAGTTTAAGTCTGCTAATCACATTTGCAAATTAAACTGCGTATAAAGTTTGACACAAGCCTCGGAAGTCTCGTTACCGAAGTATGTCATGTCTCAGATGTACGCATACTGTTGCATAATAAATGGTAAACTCCAGCTGAACATCAAGGTGAATTAGCTCAAAGGTTGACTATTGACTCTCTAGAAAGTATATAAAAACATTGGCTGTAATTAAGAAACACCATGACAACAAAAAACATCCCACTAAGACAACACTGGATTCCTGCAATTTCCTTGCACGATCCTGAGGTTCGCATGTGCATGTCGACGGATAGTGCACACATTAGTTTGCGTAACACTATTACTAATAAAATAAAATCACACTCACGAAAGGACCCTGCTTGTGAAATAAAAGCAGCAGGTTCATCTGGCAACATTGAGGTGTCCCAACTGATTTAGTCTCTAACCTTTAACGTAGAAAAGCAGCAAAACCTGGTGTTTTAATTCTGGATGATTTTGAGGATGTTAGTGATGAATTATTTGCTCGATTAACTAAGGTACTGGTTAATGTCTAGTAATCTGAAATAATTGACTCATAATGACGTAGATCGTTAATTATTCTAGAGTATAAGAATGAAAATAAATCTTTCTGTCATAACATTCTAATTAATGTATGTTCCGTAATGATTTACCTGTAAGTTGGTAAATACATTTGGGGATAAAATGAGATGGGAATTTGTCCACTTTTGATTGTTTCAACTGTTCGTTTTGGAGAAACATACAATGAATAACTCTTCTGGATAAAGCTTTTTTATACTATCAGGCAATGTTTTTCCCGATTTCTTTTTATAATTTATAAGGCAAAAGCTTACATTGCGTCCACAAAAAAAGACATGGTGGGCACATGATCTGAACTTGAAGTCAGATTAGATTAGAAAAATATTGGGGGTACCTTAATCAAAACTTGGCATAGATCCACGAAGTCACCGCCCGTTTGTTTGAGCCATACAGGAAAGGTTAGATTGATTAGCTGATATTCTTGGAATGCTTAACACCAATAGCTGAAGACATTGAATGATGGTACATCATTTATAATGAATTGGGTGTATTCACCCCTTGTCATTTTCAGAATCCAGAAAGTGTTCAGCAATCTTCCCTTAATTGACTGGGTTGTTTGTAAAGGTATAGGACATTGAAAGCATCATATCATTACTAAATCGAGGCCTTGTTTGTATCTTTAAAAAAAATTATGTAATTGATATGATGACCATCGGGGTATTTGTCTATTACCAGTTGTTTCAGAATTATCAACCGCTGATATGATACTCAAACTTTGTAAAACGTGTGAAAAACTGATTCACAAAGAGAGGGCTGGGTTTTTATCGGGTTGTGGATGCGTTGACCACATATTCATCCTCCACTGGATGTTAGAACACCACTACATTTATTTCGAAAGAAAAATCACAATTTGATCTTAAGACAGGACTGTTCTTCTGAATTTCTTTTAAAGATGAATGCCCTCTATAAGTTTACCAACATTCTGAGAGCACTTTATAGATTGTAGATCACTCTGCAGTCTGCGTGTCTCGTACGATGGTTAGCAATGAAAAGTGACAGCCTCTCCTCTTGAAGTTTTTAAAGTGAACACTTATGTGCTCTTTATCTTTGATATTTTTGTATGTTTCGTGAGTTGTGTTTGCGTGTTTCACATATTTTGTCATTAGTGAAGTATATTAACCAAAGAATAGTACTTCAAAAATATGAACTTCCATTTATGTTTATGTGGCATTTAGTCAGATTATTTCATAACTGAACTCTCATCGGATGAATGATGGAAGGATCGATGTCATGATCTTCAGAAAGACAATAATGTTGAATATTGGTGATTTAATTCTTAAGGTTTTCTCATCAATAACATTTTATAATCAAAGCTAGCGTCGTTTCTTTATTTAAAAGATGCTAATAAATCTGTTTAACCATGACTATTAGACGTTCATATTCGCTTTAGCATGAATAATTGATGAACGCTGACCAAGCGTCAGAGGTATTCTATCTCACTGACTAGTTTAGCACCTCTGTATTCCTTAATCTTGTCGTAAGCTTAAAAATCTTTGTACTCAAGTGGTGGTTAGATTCCTGAGAGGAATAATATCATAGTGGAATTTTGGCATTATGGTAGAATGTAAGTACATATTACGTAAATTTGTTTGATATAACAGTAGTATAGTATGAATAATTATGTGATACTGTGAGCATAACATATTGCTTATAATCACATCAGTTTTCATAAGACTTCCTAACTTTGTGTATGTTGATATGATTATAACAGTTAAATTGTGCTCGAAATGTCATCCAGTGGGAAACTGTAATACCTACTATTTTTTCTTAATACCTCAACTATATCAGTGTAGGATACTTATTTAATAAATTTCTACATTTATACACAACCATATTGAGTTTCATCCTTCTGTGATTTTCAATTTCAGTGAAGATATTTCTGAATCTGTTGTATTGTTTTAAATTCATTTTACTTTGAAGTAAGAGAAATAGATTCATGATACTAACCATACACATTGATAAAGCACTAGGCGATTAACCACACCTATTTTGTCAGAACTAACAATCGCTGTAATCAAATGGGTGTGGGTTGTGACTGTAGTTTATAAATACTGTATAACCAACCACACCTGCAACTGTCTTCTGTTTTTAGCATAAATTTCAGTGAATTCTTCACTTATTGATGGACTGTTTCATATCTAAAATTGTTTTCCACTAATAAACTTCAACTGTTTATTTTTGTAGATTCAAACTTTTCTTCTCGCACAAAAAGTAAATCATTTGTGAAAAAGAAAGGGATGAGAAAATTTCAAAATTGAGATTTAACTCAATTGATTACCCTGTATACCCAAAAGCTTTGTTAAGTGTTGGCAACATATGAATGCCTAAGGACAATATATATTAAAACGTTGCGTGTCATTTAGCCCAAACACATAAAAGGAATCGAATGGATTGAAGGGTATCACACTAAAATAAAGGCATGGTGCATGCCAATAGATCATTTGTAGTCCCTTTCACTGTGTTTAAATCTAATATCTGAAGCCTGATAATTCTGCAAAGATAGAGAAGCAGAGTAAAAGTGTATGGGTAGCGTTCGTAACAGCAACATTGTTAGTAATAGTAATAAAACTCATCTCTTGATTTCAATATGTTTAGTAATGCATTCAAACTTGTCACCTGGTTTCTTATAGCTCAGTATCGAGACTATTGGTCTGTTGAATTGAATGAAACGTATCATTATTGTAAAATCATAGATGGAAAGAAAGTACAGACTGCTGTTTTGCTAATAAGATGGATTTAGAAGCTGGATTATAATGGCACATTAAAATACATTTATTCATAGGGTTTTGGAAAAACCACCTTCTAGTAAGCTAATGATATCTGTTTTATGGAGTTTTCCTTATTTTGGATTAGCTGTGTATTAGCTGAAAGTTAAGCGCCAAGATGAATAAACTTGTAAATTGTAACTTTTAACACAAGTTGCTCAGGGAATCGCGAAATTCATGACTGGATATCATAAGGCAACCTGAATCTTTTTCGTCTAATCTATTTTATATGATTTTCAATTCGTCTCTCCAATACAGTTAGTTTCATTCATGGTCTAAATTTATGTCAAATTTCGAAAGTGTAATTTTAGAAATTCTTATTATTATTTCTTTTATTTTTTAATCTCGTAATTGGTGTTATCGTTATATTTTGATAGTTTTTATTGCTTCCCTTTGATTATGCTGATTTTTGAGCGTAACACATAAAATCGGTAGGTAAATATATCATAATCTGTAAAGATTTATGAATGTAGTGCTGTAATAACAGAAGACAAGAGACTTAGTAACGGCATGTTTGTGTATAATCTGATATCTCTATATATGGAAATTATGTAAACCTTATCTGCAAATCATTTGCACAGATCTTCCGGGTTGTCCTACTTCTGCCCTTTGTATTGTGTTTCTTTGTCTTCTTTTCGCGTCTCCCATGTTTTGCCGCAACGCTGGTTCATTTGCTCCCTTTGATGTCAAGTCTATCACTCTGCTATTTGATACTTTTATGCCGATGAACGTCTCTTAATACACTACTGATAAATCTTGTCAGTAGCACATGCCATGGTACTATGTGACTAATACTTTTTTGGTCATTACTGGGTTGTTCTTAATAAGCTATAATGAATTTATTTCTTTTCTGTCCAACTGTATAGCATTGTAGATATTATTTGACCAATCAAATTAGAATTTAATTATGATTTTTATTTTTATCTTTTAGATTTGGGCTTGAACAGTGTCATTACAAAGAAATTTGTTAATATTTGCTATCTTTACAGCACACATTTAATTCAGATATTTAGTTGTGATACACAAGATCATGGTAACCTTTCAAAATGAACACTATTACGTTTATACTTTCTTACTGAACTGAAGTAAACCATATTTTTCCCTCTGTTAATTAATATTATTTTTAACTTACATTTTTCCATTATTTTGTTTCCCTTTTTTGTGTTTTCTCATAATTTGTGCAATCATTTTTGGATTTTTATGATTTGCTCTCTTTCTTCTCTCGTGTATTTGATTTCTGATCAATGTATACGTATTGTTCAACGTACAGCACACACTGATGATAAAGTTTTGTCATTTGAAATTTAAACAAACATTTCTGCATACACCTACTTGATATTATCTAAAATAATAGTGCAATAATAATCATTAACTTTGGTAGTATTTTACTTTCTTGGTGTATGTGTTATATATTTTTGTGTTTGTCATTTCAAGGTATAAAAACAACAGTTAAAATATTCGTTTGACCTGTGTGTTAATTCATTTACTTCGTTGTTGTTATTGAAGTGGTTTTTATCTGTGATCCCAAGTTTTAACGTTTTCCAAGAAGATACTATGTGTAATAAGCTTGTTTATGTTTAAAGTCTTTGCATTTACTGGATTTTCTCTTCTTCTTTTAAAAAACCTGGTTTGATAACTTGATAAAATATTTCTCATCCTTTGAATTGCTTAATAAAGAAAGCCATTTATGAAAGTTATGTCAACTTTCTCGTTAATTCTGCGCGTAGTGGTTATAGGTGTATGTGTGTGTTTTTTCCCAGCGTAGTCCTTTACACTTAGGTGAAGAAATTTAAGCGATTGTTTAGTGACAAATAACTGAATAATTGAAAATGCATGTTTAATACTTGGAAATCAGTTCCTTCATATTTGCGACTTATTTCATCATTTGATTCTTCATCTGTTGGCATGAATTTATCGTATAATTGATTCAAAAGCTGTTGTGCTGATTATATTCATTTTTATGTCTGACTGTGTTATCCTGTAAAAAAAACATCAGAATTTTATCTCTCACTTTCTCTTCGCTTAGGTGGCATTTTTCTTTTTGAAATAATTTAATTTCCATAAATTAACTCAATCATTGACTCAGTGTGTTCGTCTTCATTTATATTTACTGTTGTTTTTATTAATTTAACACAATTGGTTATACCGTTATGTATGGAATACCACATTCTTTATTTTTACTCTATGTCAAGTCAAACAGTCTTGGATGGATTAGTTGGGCTAGAGGATTTCGATTAAGTAAAAAATGCCACTTCATTTTGTTGTGTGCGTAGGTGCTTGATCTGTCCAGTGGTAAGAAGGTCTTCTTCCTTCCTTTTCGTGCTATTTGTCGAACGTGACCGCTTCACTTATTTGGGAAGTACCATCAGCCCCAACGGGTTGATCTCTGAAGAAATCTCAGTACGAATACAGAGGGCTAGTTTCGCACATGCCAGTTTACGCCGTCTCTGGCGTAGACGTGATATCCCTGACTATCGACCAAAGGGCGTGTGTACTGCTCATCAGTCCGCTCCGTCCTCCTTTATGGCTGTGAGACCTGGCCATTGAGAGCGGAAGACATGAAAAGATTAGCTGTCTTCGATCATAGGTGCCTGCGTTCTATCTCCCGTGTGAAGTGGTATAATAAGGTGAGCAATATTGAGGTTAGGCGTCGAGTGCTAGGTAAGGAGGGGAAATCAATCGACGAGACTGTGAAATTACATCGACTGAGATGGTTAGGACATGTGTTACGTATGCTTAGTCATCGCCTTCCTCGACGGGCAATGTTAGCTGATATAGGGCCAGGCTGAAAAAGAGCTAGCGGTGGTCAAACGAAAACATGGCACCAGTCAATGAAATCCACAACAGTTAGTCTAAGCCACGTAGGAAGGTGTAGACTTCCTGGTTGGGGTCCTCGGGACGGTAAAACCAATGGTTGGAAACAATTGGTGACATGGCTCAAAATCGTTCTCAGTGGCGCAGATGCATCCACTCCTTGTGACTTATGATTTCCAATGAAACTGTTTTGTTCTTCGTTATTACTATTCCTTTGTCTCACACCTCTGTTTACTGTCTACATTATGCATTTCTCCTATTTTTCTCTTGCTTTGTGTGCTACATGGAGTGTGGCGACTTGAACTGGCGCACATATGTGCAAAGTTCTATATCGAAAACCGACCGACCGATTTGTCGAACGTCAACTCGCTGAATAATAAATAATCCGGTAATTAATCTATGCTTTCACATATCATTGAAATTATGAGAAAATCATTTCGATTTACTGCGTTATTTTATTTGTGGAAGCAGATGAATACTTCATGAAAGTTTTTTAAAATATACCAGCCTAAATGTATCCGAGTTCTTGTATTATAGTAACTCAATTCACTCTATACCACTTCTGTTTAGCATCATGGAGATAGTATAAAATGGAATAGTAGTAGTTCCTATACTTGATTAGAAAGCATATTCTTATAATGACTTAAACTCAAGCTGTGCATTTCTAATATTCCCGTGATATTTGATACCGTCTTACTGCACGACTTTCTGCCTAAATCTAATTACGACGCACATACGGAGATGCATTCATTTACAGACAAATTGGACACCAAAATGTTATGCACATGGAAATGTAATTTGTGAAACTTCATAGGAGTACCTCAGTGTTCTTATGATAATGAAATCGATAAAATAATACATGGTTTCACTTAGTTAAGAATCGTGTCGAAATCAATATGTCAGTGATCAGTTGAGAGGCTACTTTATTCTTGAGCACATGCATCACTGGTATTGTTACAATCCAGGGGATAATGTGACACCGTTTTGAGAACGTAATAATTATCTAGGTCAGTGTTTTAAAACACTGTACGTCAGTCATCTTTTCGTTTACTTATTATATTCACTTTCACAAAGGCATTGATCGTTATCGAGAATAAGATTACCTTTTCCTTCCTCTTTATTTGCGCTGAACTCCTAGTTGTATGCACTAATAATGAACCAGTCATTTGGAAAAAATCATTTCATATATTTTTCATGCGTTGTTTAACTACACTGAAAGACACGGTTCCTTTTAAATGGGAACTTGATCTAAACCTTAGGAAAAGTGACCTTCCAAGAGCTTGTGAATGAGTTTTTCGGAATAACCATTTACGAAAAGTACATGTGTGAAAACTTTGACTTGTGTTCTTTAAAAGTATCGATTAGAAGAATGTTTTCTAATGGTCAAACCTCAGTTTATTCATATGAATCACAGACAATTATGCGTTTTGGGAAGGTATGACCGCAACTTTGATTTGAATAGTCTTGGTTCACGCTAATTCGGAATGCGTAAAAGAATTTCTGTAGTTCTGATATTATGAAGAAAAATCACTAAACAGGAATAGATATAAACACATTCTATGATTCAATGAGAAAAGAGATCACCCGGTGAACTGATTTCAGCTGCTCTTCGAAAGACACGAAGACTACTATGGAGCTGGGAGAGTGTTTTCAAAACTAGACAGTTTGATTCGGTAACGAAGAAGTTCTTATAGACAACATTTCGTAACCTAGTCATTCGGTTATAGAAAATATTAGGAGATATACCATCATAAAAATAAGAAATAGAGTCAAGTGACTGCTTATAAATTAGACTGCTCCAACTGCAAATTTTAGAGCTCAAACAGTTAGAAAATCACTGCTCACTAGGGATGGAAAAGTCGACACAGTGTGAAAATAAGTGTCTAAGATCAACATTAAGGAAATATCTTCAGCGTGCAAGTAATGAAAATTCAACATGAAGTAAATAAAATTGCAGATAACCGATTTTAGAATATTTCAGCAGAAAGCGATGAAAAACTGAAATGTATTTCTCCAAGTGTAAAAAATGCTTCACACCGTGGTTAAATTTGTGCCGATCGTTCTGCTGGTTTTCCCATATATGGCTGTTTTACAGTAGTGTTGTAACGACAGAAGACAAGGGCCAGGCAACAGATCGTTTATTGAGAAAATCAAGAGATATTTATAGATTTTTATGTACATTATTATTCGATATTTTAGCAGAGAAGCAACGTCTTCTGATTGGTTTTTCTTGCTGAAGGTTATTCTGTACTGCTTGTGACCGTTGCTTACAAAGTTTTCCATATATCTGCGAATCGTATGTGTACATGCTAATTCTGCTGTGATTGGTTGTTGAGTTCCTCAAGGTTAGGCTTTGTTCTTGTTTTTTCTCATGACCCCGATTAGGGACGTAAACATTGACGTCAATTGTTGGCTACAATTTTTTCTTGCAGACAGCTCTCTCCATAGTGTGACTGGTTTGAAGAAAGGAATATTTTCTGATTTTTGATATGACAGTGTGGTAGAAGAGACACTTATATAAGATCAGGCTCAGTAAGTCCATTTGATCTATATATGCATTTATGTGGTTTGACATATAATCAAATATAAAACAATGCATGTCACCGACAGCCAAATCATTATTATTTTACCTTGGAAAATCAAGTTATGATGATAAATGAGACCTGCACCACATCCATGTTAATTTGGTCCATCATTTAGGTGATTGTATTAATTATAAATTGTTGGTTTGCAGGGATTTGATTGGCTCTAGGTTTGATCACGAGATGGCACTAGTTAGAGAACCATCGGAAAACCTGTGGGTACTGGACAGTTTGAGACTCTTTAGCAATACACTTCCACTAGGATTCGAACCCAGGATCTTCCGGTTACAAGAAGAGCTCGTAGACCATTCAGCCACTGGGACTTGAACCAATGGCTCATAAATTCCAACTTCTATCAAGAGTCCCAAACCAGGATGAAACAGCTGTTCAGTACTCCTAGGTTTTCCAGCGGTGCTCTAACTGATGTCAGCTCATGATGAAATCCTCCATCCAATTCTAATAATCCCGATTGCATTATATATGGTGTGAGTTTTGCTATTAAGTCGTTTATTGAACTACCGGTCATCTTGTTTTGCTTGTCAGGTGTATTCTTAGTTTAAGCCTTAAGTTTATTGATGCTTCTAGTGAATTGTGGCTTTTACTTTGTCAGCACTGTCCGGATAGTTAAACACGAGAAAAGCTGTTTCATTTCTTGCACAAGCTAGATTTCGATTTCAACTTCACTCATTAACTCATGGTCATAAAATACAGTATATCTGAATCTTTAATATTTATCACCCTAGAGTAATCACTTCCTATCTAAAAATCTAATCACTCATTAGGTGGAAATTTATTTTAACGGTTATGTTTTGATTTACTACTTTTTCGTCGTATAGTTTCCTTTCAGTCCATTAAATTTCTTATTCCGTGACGTAAGAAAAATGACCCATTGTAACAGAATAAATGTAAACATCATGCATTTGAGTTGAAGCTTGGATTACTCAAAAACTCATTTTATTTATTCTGTGTAGCTTACTAACACGCAAACTCACTTCCACCTACAATTTATATATTACAAAATATGAAAAATAGATTAAACACACAGTGTTTCGTAATAGTTCATTAAAAAGTCAAATGGAATATCAAAAACAAAATAAAGAAATTTATCTATGTACACTTGTCACTTGCCATAACAAAGTGTCATTTTATAGGCTTTCAGAGTTACGATAGAGAGTAGTGATTATCGTACACTCAGCTTATTGAAGAAAAAACCCTTCAGTATAACGGTAGCATTTCAGAGTATTTGATTAGTGATTTTAGATTAGTTTGTAAATTCTGTCCTATACAATTTCTATTGAACGTTCCTTTTCTCTAAAGAAATACTCAGTGAATAATAGCAGGATAATTAAAAAGCTACAGGTTAAACATGTAAAGATTACTATCTGATCAAATTTAATTATATTTAGTTAACTAATGCTTTTTTCGTTTGAATAAGGATGAATATTAATGGTGTCTATTTAATTAATCACTTAAAATGAAGATTCAGTTGGCTTTTCTTTGAAAGATAAAGGAAGGTTGATATCACTCAAGAATCAGCAGTTAAGTAATTTAAACTCACTAACTGGTAATACTAATAATGCTGTGCAGAAAGCTGACGGGAATTAATGTAGGTATCTGTGGAGGTTAGAGAAGGTTAAGTGTGGACCAATTATACACTGAGTTGTTTGAAAGTTAACTGCTTAAATTTGTAATCCACAACATTTGGTATAATCATCATTAAAGTGAAATATATTTACCTGGCGGACCATGAGTCTAAAATTAATTTTCCTCACTGAATCACCAGTTTTATTTCCTTATAAGAAAATTATTCCCATGACTAACTCAGTGAAAGAATCAAACCTCTTGTTTTTACTTAGGTAATGGTTTAATTAGAGCCTGACTAGACTTGATAGAGATACTAATTGTTTGGGCTAAATACTCATATA